GCTCCACGTGTCTTCTCCTGGGGTTTGGCACCTCCTGCCTTTCCCTCACCTTCCTGCGCTGCCCGTCAGTCTGAGTGACAGTCCTCAGCAGGCAAGCGGAGTATAAGAGGGACACAGCTCCGTATCTTGGACTACCAGAAGGATTCCTGATCTTCAGGTTGCTTTATCCCTGCTCAGTGTATTTGCTAAGAGACAACTTCTTCCTGGCATGGCTCATGGGTAAGAGAAAATCATACTAATTCTTCTCTAATGCAAAGGGCAGTGGGGATGGGCTATATTCGTCTGGGAGACGTGTAAAAGGCAGTTATGTGAAACGCAGCACAGCAATAACCCTGCTTCCTGTTTCTATTCTGTTTTACTAACACCTCAGCATAAAAAGTTGGTGGGACAACTGGACTATAAGCTGTTTTAGCTAAAATAAGGTGATGCTAAGATCAGATTTTGCTTAAGCATAGCTGGTAACGTAGAAACAGTTCTCCAAACATCACCTGCCTGCCCAGGACCTTGACAGAGTGCTAGCCGAGTAACTGCCCACTATTGTTTGTCCCTTGACAATGCATTTTCCTTTCCACCTACAAAACCTGTCTTATTGATCCTTTGGTATTTCAAATACCAGCCTTAAATGAAGAAAAACATCACTGGAGTCAAGTAAAAGACATAGACATTGGCATAAGAGGAAAATCAAGAGAATTGCTTCTATCTTCTATTAACCATGTAAGCTGATGCATATATTTCACAACATTTGAACGAATTTTTTTTTAAATTATTGGAAACTTCTTGTAAATGGCTGCTCATCAGACTTTCCAAATGCTTTTCTTCTCTATGCTAAGATCAAAGGCTTTTTAAAATTGGATGTCGTTCAAAGGATCTCTGAAGGTAAATTTACTTTAGAGAAGATGTTCAATCAAAGCTTCTTTGAAGGGGTCGATGTGACCCATTTGCAATACATGTTTTTCTTGCTTTGACACTGTTGACTTGCTCACATGATTTGCCACTGACCCTTTAATTCTCTTCATGTCTTGAGTAATTTCTGATTTATAGCAATAAAAGACTTCTTCTTGGGGCACTGTTTTGGATAGAATGGAGGTTTCATACAAGAAAATCACTCGGAAAGAACAGGCACACCATGTGAATGTTTCACTTGAAAGCTATAATAAAATGGAGATGGTTTAGGTTCTTTTGCTCTAGCCGGAATGCTGGTGCATTAGAGTTACTATTGCAAAGAGCCTCCTCCCAAAATTTTCTCAACTCTTACAAGTGCAGACTAAGTGTTCTTGTTATTGGGGTGGTGCTTTGCGCGTGTAAGGACATCCAAGCAAGACTCCAACTGGCCAAAATCCAATTGGCCAGACTTCTTGCACAGAAATAATTTATTCTATGTGAAAGCACAAATCCTAACAACAGAGATTTCACCATAGGGAGTGGATTGAGAATTAATACTAAACATCTCTGTTTTGAGTCATACATGATGAAGTAATACTCTCTGGTATTGAAAACCAGACAGTAAATACACAATACTCTTCTTCAGGAAAACTTCACCTAAATGCTATGTGTCATGGATTTGAAGGAAGGTGTTGGGCTTCTTCTCTTTGAAGTTGTCTCACCTCATATGTGTAAGCTAAGTTTATGGACCTTTTTTAAAGACCTACTGTCCAGAAGGAGTTTTTACAAGATGACTATGTAAGTTGCTAAACGAGTTCTTTACTTTGGCAAGGAGATATTTTTCTTTATTCTAATCTTCCCTTACAATGTGTACAGGTGCTCTGCTCTGTTTGGAAACTAAAGGGACAACAAAAAGGAGAGGAAAAGTCCATTATGATATTGTGGTAGAACCCAGCAGAGAAAAAAAGAGAGAAAAGGCTTTTCTTTTATAAAATCAAGTGACTCTCGAGTTTTGGGACACATTTTCTGAATGCAGGAATATATTTACTAGAAGCATATTTATTAAATAAATATGAGGATTGAAATCTGTAGGTATGCTCTTGCTGTAACCCTCTCCTGAGGAGACACCTTGAGCTTGCCTCCATGAGCTCATGCAGTATTTCATAACATTTCTAGAAGAGGAAAGATCAGAGAGAGCCCTACAGTGCTTTACAAACACAGGACAAATCCACCAAGAGCAGACCAAGAGCAAGCAGTAGGTATGGAAGGGATGACAGATTTCTTGTACAGGTGACTTTTACCAAAATACATACGTACTGAAAATATGTGTATAAAATACTATATATATATATGGAACAAAATATTAAAAAAACCCCAACTAACATCCCCTAATATTTCACATACCTTTGACGTTCAACAGACAGCAGACTCCTATCTGCCACTGGTAGTTACTCCCAAAGTAAAAACTGTGTTAAACATAATATGGCGGCATTCAAACAGATGTGATAAGCTCATGGAGAGTAGACAGCAGGACAGTCCAGAACACAGGAGAAAAGTGATCCAATAAAATTAGGTCAGTCCAAGATAATATGAATGTAGTTTGAAAAATATCTCCGCTACTGTTCTGTGAACTTGCCGATCCTGTTCTTGGGACTTCAGCTGAGCTGGTGAGATGAACAATTTTCTGTTTAGTGTTGGTTTGTAAGCTCTTTTGAGAAGGAATTGCTCTCTTAAGACTCTGGAAAGAATGTGGAGGTACAGCTGAAAAGAAATAAAAATGCTGCTGTTGGTGGTTTCTGCGGTATGCCATAAGGCTAACTCCCCATCAAGTTGAGCAGGTGCCTCGGTTGGGCTGCACGGCCAAATTGATAACGGGATGCCACAAGCCACATTTCCGCTGTATAAGCAGAGCCTGGGGCTTGGGCAAGGGCTGAAGATAGCTCCTCTGTGACAGCCTCCTTCTGCTCCACTGTAAGATCCATGCAAGTACTTGTTCCAAGCCAAAAATTCTTCCTCCTTATTCGTGTTTAACCTTAGCAGGAAACATATCCTTTGGCTCCCATATACCAGAATTTTTAGTCCTTTTCCTTCTTTCAGGTTTTGACACCTATTCAAGCCCAGTTCAATATTGAAGTGGTCTTGTAGATTTCCCACCACCAACAATCTCAAAGTTTCACAGAGCCGGAGCAAACACAGACTGTCAGTGCCGCCAGCGAGGCTGAGGTACCTGACGGCGCAGATTCCCAGTTGCAGGCAGACGGAGGTGTGGCAGCCGAAGTAGTTACGGTTGTCTGCCCTGCCCTTCTGTAAGAGGTTGCTTTCCCCACTCTAAATAATGCTGTGTATAGTATGAATATCATCTATGTTCTTTATGCTCCTCAGCTGCTGCAGCTTGTCCTCTGGTGCATTAATGTCAACTGGCTGCTTTTGGCTCTTAACTCAGGGATAGGAATTCCTTTGGGCAAAAAGCTCTCAAGGAGTTAAGCGCAGATTGCTTATGCTTTTCAAGATTTTAATCTTAGGCTGTATAAGTTCCATCCCACAGTTACACAGACAATTCTGGAGAAAAAAGATTGCTCAATAATGTGGGGGGTTAAAAAAAAAGTCTCAGTTCTCCAGGCAGTTTGCTACCTTCTGTTTCTTTCAATATGGAGCTTAGACCAGCAGTTTCTGAGCCAGGCACGAAGTGCAGGCCAGGACAGGAGAAGGCACATAAAATCTGGCTGTACTGCTTCTAGACTATTCTCTCACCATTTGATTGACGCCCTCCTTTCTGCTATGACTTCTGTTCTCTCCCTGCCAACAACAGGGCAGGTGCCCGCTTGGCTCACTTTTCGCTCTTCCTGGCTCCAAATCTGCCTCACGTCAAGGCTGCCAC